AGCTAAATTATTACATTGAACACATTGGGGAACACATTTTAATAAATGATCAGTTTTTTTTTTCTGGCTGTATTATTCTTGCAAAAAAATAGAAAAATCTTAATTAGGCCAACTGCATCAAACTATTTCAAAGTCTTGATTTCGTTTTCAGTCTCTAACAGGTTTTCCTGCTTGAATGTTGATTATTCTCCTCATATTCTCCATTGTTGCGGCTCCTCTCTTCCCAGTCTGTCAGTAACGCTCTGTTTACTTCCTGTCTCTATGAAGCCCCTCCTTCTGAAAAGCACACTGTGCTCTGATTGGTCGGCTGGATCAGCGTGTTGTGATTGGTCGAGCGCTTCGAGTGTGTTTGGGAAATGTCCCGCCCCATAACCACCATGTTTAACACACTACTAACTAACTCAACCAGGCCCCGCCCCTTTATTCTGCATATTAATTATTTAAATGAGGCATATTCTGACGTGTTCGTTCCCGGAAGAAACTCAAGACTACAATGGAGGCGTTTCAGGAGTTTCTCTAGTATGACACTGATATAGAGAAGAACTCCCACTGGAGGGTCTTTGGAAAACTTTTCCATGTTAAAACAACGACATTACACACTAGAAAGATGAACATGGAGACAACGTCCTCTTTAAGTGCAACTAATACAACTACAAACAATCTTGATGTTTAAAAATGTCTCAAATCTACTGACAACAGCATATTTTAATTAAAATACAAAAGTTATTCTTATACTAAATGTATTAAAAAGGCAAGTTGCATCAGCTATACAACTGCATGCACAATATAATGTACACACTTCTGAGGAAACATGACAAGCAACATGAGCAAATCAACTGAGCTTCTGTCACAGAGTTAGAGTTAGTTTCAGCTTCATTCTGTCACGTCATGCGGTCTGACGCTTCACGAGGAGGTGAATGTCTTTTAATAACACACGGTTTGGGCTTCTAGTGCTGGAGGGGAAGATCTTGAGGATCATTACGGATGAAAATGTTCTTATCACGACATCATAACTCGCTGCAGGAGAGACAGTCATAAAGAGTGCCGGTGACATGTGCTGTGATATGGAAATACATCGCATTTTAATAGCATACACACGGGCTGGCCGTGTTAAGCTCGCATATCTTTTGCCTTTGATAAGGCCTGTGCCCATAAATTACATATAATAAAATAAAGACAGTGAAGCATAGTTTTAGAACCAAAACATTTAGCATTTTTTTCCTTTAAAACAATCTGGCTGCAAAACACTTGATTCTCATTACTGTAATACAGTCATTATATTCATCCAGAAATTCAATTCAGTACAACAAATACTACTATTTTTATTTTATTCAAGTCAACCTATATACATTAAGTTATAGCAGCAAAATAAAATGTTTATGTATTAAATCGAGTTCGCTGAGGGTTACGACTTTATACAGTGTATTATATTTACTTACAACTTATTTTTTTACATTACAGTAATGAGAATTATCTCATTTTCTTCCATTTTGAGGTGAATTATGACCTGGCATGTTGGAACAGATGTAATAAGATTGGAGTGGCACAACATAATGTGTTTTTCTTGACTCAAAAATATAAATGATCAAATGATTTGCATTCTTCAAGCAGTATTAATCGTGCAAAATAACAAGATAATAATTAGTGTGATCACATCAAACTCACATAAATGTATGTCAGGTGCAACTAATACAATTATAAAACACCTTAATATACTGTATATGACTCAAACACCTAGTGACCAACATCAGCACTTAATTAAATATCATATATATATATATATAAAAAATAAATTGCAAGACAATGTGACCAAAAAAATGTTTTCTTGACTTTTTATAATTTTTTTATTTTTTTATGTTGACGTCTCTTTTACAAATTATTTTTACATGAGCGCATTTACTCCTGTGCGTCTGACTTTCATGCAGGATATCAGTATGCACCACTTAATTGCATAAATGAAGCTAATGCAATAAATTCATGTGCGAGCGCACGCACAGTGTTAATTATCCCACAGAGGAGATGCGCTGTGTTCTCGTCCACAAACCAAACCCATGTCACAACACATCATAACACTGACACTCACCCCCGCCTGAACTTATCATGCCACCAATTAGCCTGAATAAAGTGAAGGCTGTTCCTCCTGTTTGTAATCCATCCTCATCTGTGAAAAGGGCAGCGAGTCAGGTTAGCATGAGCTCTGCACACTGGCCTTCTGCCACGAGGACTGCGGGATTAAACGGATAATAAAATAAAATATCGGGCTGCTGTTGCGGGTTATGCCAACAAGATTAGGTTTCATTAAACCCAGGCTCACTGGAAAAACGTTGAGTCTTGCATGTTTCATGACACTTTCAAAGTGAAATGCCTAGAGAGTGGCACTGAGAGTGTGTTTATCTTTATAAGAAACTGATGAACGTGAATCTGCTACGCTTTATTACATTGGTTATTGTACGTATCACGGCAGTTCGGAAATAAAACTGATGCTTGTCAATAACAGAGCACCTAGAGTTGGCTAGAGGCCTGCAACATTTACACATTCACCCTTCATCCAAATATTATTAAAAGTTTGTTAAATATTGCAGCTTATGAAAACCCAAAATTCAAAATTAGAATATTGTGAAAAGGTTTTCATAAGCTGTAAGCCATAATCATCAAAATTATAACAAATAAAGGCTTGAAATATATCACTTTGCATGTAATGAGTCTATATAATATATTAGTTTCACCTTTTAAGTTGAATTACTGAACTTTTGCACGATATTCTAATTTTTCAAGTTTCACCTGTATAGTTATACACTCACCTAAAGGATTATTAGGAACACCTGTTCAATTTCTCATTAATGCAATTATCTAATCAGCCAATCACATGGCAGTTGCTTCAATGCATTTAGGGGTGTGGTCCTGGTCAAGACAATCTCCTGAACTCCAAACTGAATGTCAGAATGGGAAAGAATGGTGATTTAAGCAATTTTGAGCGTGGCATGGTTGTTGGTGCCAGACGGGCCGGTCTGAGTATTTCACAATCTGCTCAGTTACTGGGATTTTCACGCACAACCATTTCTAGGGTTTACAAAGAATGGTGTGAAAAGGGAAAAACATCCAGTATGCGGCAGTCCTGTGGGCGAAAATGCCTTGTTGATGCTAGAGGTCAGAGGAGAATGGGCCGACTGATTCAAGCTGATAGAAGAGCAACTTTGACTGAAATAACCACTCGTTACAACCGAGGTATGCAGCAAAGCATTTGTGAAGCCACAACACGCACAACCTTGAGGCGGATGGGCTACAACAGCAGAAGACCCCACAGAAGACCCCACCACTCATCTCCACTACAAATAGGAAAAAGAGGCTACAATTTGCAAGAGCTCACCAAAATTGGACAGTTGAAGACTGGAAAAATGTTGCCTGGTCTGATGAGTCTCGATTTCTGTTGAGACATTCAGATGGTAGAGTCAGAATTTGGCGTAAACAGAATGAGAACATGGAACCATCATGCCTTGTTACCACTGTGCAGGCTGGTGGTGGTGGTGTAATGGTAGCCTCGTGAGACCATCCTGATCTCGCGAGCTTTCAAGGTTTCACTCGCAGATCAGTTTGGATACTTTCCGTTAAAGAAAATTTGGGAGCAGTTCACCAAACGAACGTCCAATCAGCGTTGGCTTTGAGGCGGGTTGAGGTGTGACGCAACGAGAAGCGCGTCAGTTCAGTCTAAAGAACATGTCGGCTTCAGCGGATGAAACTAGCATCAGCGTGGCTATCGAGCAAGTTTTATCGGAATTACAGAGTATTTCTTCACTGAAAGAAGAGCAAAACACTGCTCTGGAGGCTTTTCTCAGTGGAAAAGATACGCTCTGTTAGTACGTCATATACTTCGTTGATCTGATTGGTTGATTTGGCCCGTCTATCACCAACATAGGCCAATCAGCTAACCAGTATTTTCGCCCTTACCAAAACTACTTCAACGGAAGGTTTCCAGATGGATATGCGGAGCAAATCCATCTGGCGGAGTCAGTTTAGTGTAATGGTGTGAGGGATGTTTTCTTGGCACACTTTAGGCCCCTTAGTGCCAATTGGGCATCGTTTAAATGCCACGGCCTACCTGAGCATTGTTTCTGACCATGTCCATCCCTTTATGGCCACCATGTACCCATCCTCTGATGGCTACTTCCAGCAGGATAATGCACCATGTCACAAAGCTCGAATCATTTCAAATTGGTTTCTTGAACATGACAATGAGTTCACTGTACTAAAATGGCCCCCACAGTCACCAGATCTCAACCCAATAGAGCATCTTTGGGATGTGGTGGAACGGGAGCTTCGTGCCCTGGATGTGCATCCCACAAATCTCCATCAACTGCAAGATGTTATCCTATCAATATGGGCCAACATTTCTAAAGAATGCTTTCAGCACCTTGTTGAATCAATGCCACGTAGAATTAAGGCAGTTCTGAAGGCGAAAGGGGGTCAAACACGGTATTAGTATGGTGTTCCTAATAATCCTTTAGGTGAGTGTATATACTAAATGTCTATAAATATAATAAATAACTTTGCAACTACACATCAACTGATTCTTAACCCTAACCCTACCAGTAATACTCTACTAATACTCTAATGAGAGTTAGTAGACATGAAAGTGCAACCTTACGTGTAGTCAACAGATTGTCTAAAAGTGACCATCAAAACATTTCTAAAGACACATCTTTTTGGTCAGCACCATTAATACTAGCACTACCTTTTCTATTCTATTCTATTTGTTTAGTTTTTTCTTATAAAAACAAGCAATAAAAAAACCTTGTCATGTGTACTGTGCTCGACTAACTGAGACTTGTTACCGCACTTGTTGCCCTCTTGCTGGTCTGATTGCTTCTATTGTTCTCTCTTTGGATAAAAGCGTCTGCTAAACGATGAAATGTAAATGTAAAATAAAGCGAAACCGATTTTTTCCCATGTAAACCTTCATAACACATGCTGAAATGTTGTTGTGTGTTGTTCTCGTCCTGCAGGTCTCCACAGAATGGAGCGAGAATGAGCAGAGAGCGGTCGAGAGAGAAGCATGAACTGGAGGCTCATTGAAGTCACTTACCTCCTGTTTATATGGGACCATATAACAGTCCAGTCTTCCCGTCAAGAGCCCTCGGCCAACGAACAGCATGTCACCAAGCAGTTTGACTGGCTCATCTCTGACCGTGGCCCTTTCCACCACTCGAAGGGGTACCTATCCTTCATGGAAAGATTTCGCCAAGGATTCACGACCCGGTATAAGATTTATAGGTGAGTGCACTTAATAATCGACTCGAGCTCGTGTCCGTATATGAAGTTTCTGCTGAGATTCGTATGGCTTATGAAGAGCTGGCCTCAGTGTGAACCTGTTTTATCATTCAATGGAGTTCAAAGCACATCCAGCATTCAGTTCTGCTCGTTCAGAGAGGGACGATATGCATTCGATCTGATCAGATGCTTGCCGGGTTCCCACGCTCACCAAAAACCTTGAGGATTTTAAAACAGGCCTGGAGAAAATCATGGGCGTTTCTGAAGGGAATTTGTTTGTAGTTCTGTTCTGAAATACTGCTTTTAGGAAGAAATTGCAATTTGAGACTGAGTGCAATCTTAGTATTCAGTTTTTTTCAAACAAATCATGTTACATTCATTTTGTATTGTGTTTGAATGTTAAATGAGCTGCACTGTGTGTGTGTAAGTGAGCTGTAGTTCTTGTGGAGCAATGATTTCTGTTGTTGCCTATGGAAGTCTTTCAAAGATCCTTGAAACATAAAGAGGTAAGACTTTACAATAAGGTCGAATTAGTTAATGCATCCGGTATCATGGACTAACATGCATTAATGAAATCAAACCCCAAACCTGCAGAATCCCTGCAGACGTGAAAGGAGAGACTGAATCATCCGACGAGTGGTTTGAGAATCGTTGAAAAATGTGGCGATGTTCAATGAGAAAATGAAACTTTTTTTGGAAATGAAAGTTTTTTTTTTTTACCTTTGATGCATGTAAACCTATTGTAGGAGAACAGGTGAAGCCTTGCGTTTAAAATAGCATAATTGAGCACTTTAATGCATGTTAGTCCATGATATCTATGCATTAACCCTAAAAGTGCAGACATGCGATTGGCCATTGCTGATGTGAGAGTACAAGTCTTCACGAACCAATTTTACTTCCAAAACGACGGATTTTGCCGAGAGTTACATGTGAAACTCGAAAAAATTTGAATATCATGCAAAAGTTCTTTTATTTCAGTAATTCAACTTAAAATGTGAAACTAATATATTATATAGACTCATTACATGCAAAGTGAGATATTTCAAACCTTTATTTGTTATAATTTTGATGATTATGGCTTACAGCAAAAAAACAAATTCAAAATTGGAATATTGTGAAAAGGTTTTCATAAGCTGTAAGACATAATCATTAAAATTATAACAAATAAAGGCTTGAAATATCTCACTTTGCATGTAATGAGTCTATATAATATATCAGTTTCACCTTTTAAGTTGAATTACTGAAATAAATGAACTTTTGCACGATATTCTAATTTTTCGAGTTTCACCTGTGAGTATGCATACCTGTTAATGTGGCACCTGTGATAAGGTAGTGTGTTGAAAGAAGTCCTAATCGAAGAATGCACTGGATTTATGGTGCTAATGGACATTGCATGTACTTTTACGAGCTTTCACAGCACAACTGCTGTTCTTTTCTTCGAGAATGCGTCCACTTGGTGTGTGCACTGACTTAAAAAATAAGCTTTCAGGATAATAACATAAAAAGTCACTGCAGAGGACACATACAATAGTGCTATATATCTTCAGTGCATTGCAGGATAAAACTGCATTCCGGCGATGTTTGTTTTAAAAAAAGACGATATTGCACAGTCTAATCATTGTGTAATTAAGAGTAGCTGTTGTACAGTGTGAACATGTCCTGCAGTGTTTGTCATCAAGAGATATTGCAAATGACGACAGTGCTTTAACATGCATTTATTACTGTAAGCATATTTACAGCTGTGTGAACAAATGGGCCAAACAATTGTCACATTTAAAGGCATCACTAAAGAGTTTTTGGCACAGAATAATAGTGTTATGTAGTGTTTTACGCACATTTATGCTCACTTGTATGTAAACGCTTTACAGGCTGTCACAATATCAGATTTCACGCTGTAATCACGGTAAATATATATTGTGATATCTATAGAAAAACAATGCTATCAGTCACATTCATCTTAACTTTGATTATTTTGTGTTTTGCTTTCTTAATGAATCACACCATTGCATACAGCAATTACAATAACCCACATTTAATTATCGTCTGAATTAATGATAAAATTCTGAAATTTATGGAATATTTTTTTTAAGAATTTAGAGGAGACTAAATTGCAAAACTGTTGTTAGCTTAGTAGAGCATCAAAATACAGTTTATGAGAATAACAGCATTTAACTCCAAAATCACATTATAACGCCAGTCGAGTGATTGAAATGACTTTCTTCTGTGAACTGCTTCTTATCACAGAAAGAAATAGCAGAAATTATATTATTTTATAGTATTCTTTACAGTGATAAAGGCTATACGAGCGTTATACGTATACATTATCCTTATGAAAATAACCTAGATGGCTTGAAGAACACAGATACACCATTTTTTTCCATGATTTCCTTGAACGTCAAAAGTTCATGTGTCGAGAATGAATGAATGTGAGAGTTTAGCGTTTCATAATGCTCACATCGCCCTATTCACATTCATTTAAAATGAATTTTTTTTTTTTTTGGACTAGTGAAGTTTTTTAATGCATGTACAACGAACTCTTTTAGCACAAAAGCGCAAGTATTTCCCCCCGTTAAATGCAAAAGGGAAAACAGTCAATCTAGAGAAGCGGAAGGCTTATAGACACAGAAGTGGAAATTAAACAATGTTTTTTTTGTTTTTTTTTTTAAACATTGGATACAGCCACAGTGAAATAATGGCGTTGGCATTTATTCTTTCCTGATATAATATCTTTCCGTTTCCATGAAAACGCACCCGTCAGTATCAGTGACACTTACATAAATCACCCCACACTCTCCATATGTAACGTGTACGTGAGAATCGCACTTCTAAGTAGCTAAATGAACATTTCTACAGTGTTTAAGAGGTGAGGAAGTTCTTTTTCTGCTCGTTAAAATCGAGTTTTTCCACGTAACAGTGACTGAAGATGCCTTGGAGACACAGCACTCAGTGGATCTGCTCAGAAACAAGTGAACACTGCCTAACTCGACAGCATTAGCACTGTCCCGGTGAACACCGGTCCACATGGCATTGTGTGCATCTTTTATGGAGTAGGCAATCACAGAAAGTACCGTGAAAACCTTGATCTAATGTCAAATTCAAGATGCCAGACAAGGAGAGAGAAATGTCAATTATAAATATTTGTATAATTAATGTGCATTTTCAAGTGTCTCAGATCAGTCACTCATGAGCTTCAATTTAGGATGCTGTCTTAGTAGGTTGTAGCTCACTAGGGATTTCAACAGAGCTAAGGTTTATATACAGTATATATTTCTTTCTTATATATATATATATATATATATATATATATATATATATATGTAAGTATATATATATATATATATATATATATATATATATTTTGCATAAGAAAATGCAAGTAGTTTGTGAACTCTAAATGATCATTGTGTTGTTCCTGTGTGATATGCATCATCATAATTATTATTTTAAAATCCCCCTGTAGTCAATAATTGTATCCCTTAAAACTCATATTTGATCACCAAAATTACACATTTAAATGTTTTTTTCCTTGAAAATATTTTTTTCATTCCTTAAAATATCTGTAACTCGACACCCTCGCCTCATTTAGTATGCGCGGTTCTATGAATATGCAAATGAGCCCCGCCTCCACTCACTCCCTCAGCTCAGAGATCCACTGGTTGACGATCACACGTTGATCTGATTGGTTACAAGGTCGTTTGTGACGTCAGAAACACCAGCGATTTCAAACCGTGTTTTTGAGACTGTCTTTGGTTCACTGCAGTTTTAAGGAGGAAATACTCAGCAATGCTGTCGACTTATGAACTTACACATGCTTTAAGCGTATTAAAAACACCACATAGACACATAAACAACATTAAAAGCTGGATTTTCACCACAAGGGGACTTTAACAATGTGCAAGCTGTCATTATTTACTCACTTTGCAAAGAAAGGCACATCTTTAGTGCATGCGTTCACCTTGGTCATTTCTCATATGTGATGAGTGTACAGCTTGGAAACAAACAAAACCATTTAGTCTTTTATGTGTTATATCAGTCTCAAGGATCAGCAGAAAAAGAAGAAAACACTGCTGAGATCCATCTGTACAGCGAAACGCTTCCTGGGGTTTATGAAGGAAAACTGGCGTATGTTATTTGGTCTGTGTTGAACAGATTCTGTCGTGGACATCATTTGTTAATCAAATATTCTACACTCGTGAAAATAAACGCTCCAAAAGGTGTTTTTGTTTTTGTTTTTGTTTTTTTAGAAATGCAATAGAAGAACCATTTTGGTTCCAAAATAATCTTTCAGTCAACCATTCTTAAAATAACATTTTTTTTCTTAGTGTGATAAAAAAAAAAAAATCCATAAAAGGTAATTTTCCACAAAGAACCTTTTATGCAATGGAAATATTCCATGGTTTTTAGGGTTCTTAATGGAATCATTGATGCCAATAAATAACCTTTATTTTTAAGATTCTATGGGATTCAACGCTGTTATTATCAGAAGCTTCATCAGAAGCACACACAGTTCCACATTACTTATACAGGTGAAACTCGAAAAATATGAATATCGTGCAAAAGTTCAGTAATTCAACTTAAAAGATGAAACTAATATATTATATAGACTCATTACATGCAAAGTGAGATATTTCAAGCCTTTATTTGTTATAAGTTTGATGATTGTGGATTTCAGCTTATAAAAACCTTTTCACAATATTCTAATTTTGACTTTGGGGTTTTCATAAGCTGTAAGCCATAATCATCAAAATTATAACAAATAAAGGCTTGAAATATCTCACTTTGCATGTAATGAGTCTATATAATATATCAATTTCACCTTTTAAGTTGAATTACTGAACTTTTGCACGATATTCATATTTTTTCGAGTTTCACCTGTACTTATACTTATACTTTATTGTCAAACAAGTCTGAAATTTTTCTTGCATAACAGTGTCTATGTTTACAACAACCAACCAACATTAAACATCGACATACACTCATTATACATTCAATACTACACTTAT